TTCCGCGATCATTTACTTTTTGTCTTAAACATGTTATTCGCCTCCATGTCAAGAAAATCAGGAGCGCAAAAAAAAAAAAAAAATGGCTTGATCGTACGTTCATTCTGAGTAGTGCGATGCGTGGATCACTCGTTTCATACTCGCGTTGTTTATGTACTCGGCTGAAATTTTCTTGATTGCTGAAAAAAACAACAAACGGCTGCAAAGGAGACCGTAAACAGTCTGCCGATAGTGTGAACTCTTTTTATGTCAAACAGGCGGTTTTGAAAGCGTTACTTCAAGGGCAAGCGCGAGGCATGGGTTACACAAGTCACGCTTTTGTACTCGACACTTATGCTCCTATACCGGCTAATGTAGTCCTGCCTAAGAGTATTTTACAACATTTGTTTTTGTTTCTCAACAACGCGCCACTGTCAGAGAGCCTCGCCGTTTATTTGGAGATAAAACATTGGGTCGTAGCCTTTTAATGGAGTGGCCATGTGCAAGAAAGCGGGGTTGACTGGGGATTCAATGAGCTCTAAAAAGAGCTCCCGATCAACGCGCTGCATTTCTTGCTGAGATGACATGCTGAAAATTGCGTTTATTGCAACTCGCGCAAAGCGTTACTTTTAAAAATACGATGGTTAAGTGATACATTTTATCACCGCTCAATTTCAATGCCTTATAGCGTCGGCGTGTGTCCTATTGTTTGTGGAGGCGGAAATTGGCATATATTAATATTCTACCGGAAAATTCAAAACAGTTTCGCTCTATTGTTCTTCTAGTCGCCGGGGCGAACGTAGGCTGAAAGATCGTTAGGGGTGTTCGAAAGTTGGACAGAACGACCACTTCGAAACATCATTTTCCGTTAACACTTGGCATAAAGCTTCCTTGAACTTCTGTAAGAGTGAGGACATCACTTGTCTGTTGTTTTTTATCCTGAAGTAGAATCAGCTCTTCCTCCCTAAGTTCCAAAACATCTTGATGTAGGACGTCGAGATACAAATAATGCTCTCCACCTCAATGTGTTTCTCAGAATCTTCCGAAAAACATATTGGGTTAAAAGGATCTTGAATAAAAATTCTGCCCGTCACTCTTTTTATGCCAACTCTAGCATTCTCCATATTTTGTCCCTCGAAAGCAAATACTTGGAAACTTAAAAACATATCTTGCAATAGAAATGAGCCTAAAAAATGCATAAACAAACTGTAACGGCACCCGTGTACCTTAGTTTTCTTTCGTAATATTTTCGCTATTTCCTTTTTTACCACACTTATGTCCCATGGGTTTCCGCTAGCTATCACGTTACTCTAGCTAAAATATCGCACGCGCTTGTAAAAACTCATAAGGCTCAAAGAAATTCGACGGGAACCACCAGTTATTGCTGTACTAACTCAGAACGTTCCATAGCGTTCGCCGACACGTCCTACTTAACAGGATCGCTGTAAGAGTTTTACTCAATAAACCGGAGCCTTGTGGAACCTGAGTCACTTCAGTTTCTTTACACAGATCTCTCCGCTACCGGAGCTGACGCCGCTACACACATGGCAAATTACAGGGTTGCCAAACTCGACGAAGCCACATGCAGATAACAGCAGAAATCATGCAGACCTGTTACCTCTAAAAATTTTGCCATAGCACGGTCTTACGACTCAACTCTACTTAAAAATCCTCCGTATAACATAACATGAAGCCGGTGCCCTTCATAAACACGAGTGAGGCAACAAAAAAGGTCGAGAGACCGAAAAGAGAACGGCAAATGTACAAATACCACGAACTGTAGGAGTCGTGTAGGTCTGTCAACCCCTTTTATGAACAGGCCCTGTTCTACATCGCGAGGGACATACCAGCACTCAACTAACGTCAAGGAGCATAAAGCAAAAACAAAACAAAACAAAACAAAAAACAAAAAACAAATACGCACTCAGAACACGTGCATTTATATCAAACAAGCTCCACACTGCAGATTAGCCATTGACTGCCTATGATTTCTACAAAAAATGCCGTCAAAGAAACACAAAATAATGAGGTCGAACTTCAAACAAATTAGGATTGAAAAAAATATTACACCACTGTTTTGTTGACCAATAGGAGTCGTGGCAGTCGTCACCAGTTCATTTGTGAAGATTAGTCGCCACGCCCGATAGAGGGTCGGAAATGCGACAAATGTCGGAAACTTCTTCATAAGCAGTTAGAGGAAATCTCACCAAAAGTTAGAAAATGGTTGAAAATCAATGTTCCCTTGTTCCCGAATATACCATAATAGTTCCCTTGTTCCCTAAAGGTTATTTGAAAATATCCCTCGTTCCTTAAAAGTAAATGGCTATGTTCCCTTGTTCCCTAAAAGCCCTGGGAGGCCCTCAATACATTTCTATATTTCAAATTTATAAGATAATTAGATTTTAAATGTTCTATATTGCACTGTAGCTCGGAAAACATATTTCTAGTGAAAATAATAAAAAAGAAATCGAAGAAATAGACACATTAACTTTTTCTCAAAAGTTTCCCACACAATTAAAATCCAGAATTAAGACCATCAAAATTGGAGTGATTTTTTTGCATAAGAACCTATTTTTCTTTGCAAGGCTGAACACGTTTTTTATGTTTCCGAGTATTTCAATGCCAAATTTCAGCCTGTAGGTTCTTAAGTCACTAGGTTCTTATATGCGGATTTTTACTGTAACTAAAACGCTAAAAACTTCAGGAAGCTATATATAGAGTCTATATAATAGTCTGGAATAAGGTCCACAATTGCAAGGAAATATTGTCACTGATACTTGTTATAACTTTTGGAACTGAACTTTTCAGCCCTGACATATAAAGTGCCATTGAGCGCTGGAAATGAGCGCTACATAAATTCATGTACTGTATGTATTATATTGTATTGACATCTCCCCTTCCGATGCCCCAACCCAGCGGCGGTCAGACCTTTCCAGCCGTAGCCTCTTCAAAGGCTACAACTACCGAGATAGTTCGTGACGCTTGAAATGGATATTGCCGGATTGAAGATTGCCGAGAGAAAAATCTTGCGTCATTATCTGTTGTTCATGTTAAAATATCACATTGTCAAAAGACAAAGTGCAGTCTTGAAACATCTAACCCCTGAGCACTCTCGAAATACTGTTTTCAAAATTCGGAAAATATGTTCAAGGCTCGTAAGACAAATGTGGTGTAAGCAACTTTTTACTACTTGAACGTTAATTTCTAGAGCGCGTTTTTCTAGCCTGTGTCACAGCCGCCCTCCACGAAAGAAAACTTCGCTTATTTTCTCTTTATACGGGAGGACGGCTGTGACACATCCCACCGTTCTCCCAGAGGATTTAAAAGTCAAGATAATCATAACTCAACCCACCCTTTGTGATTAGCAACGATCGGTGCACTAGACATGTTCAAGCCTCGAATGCTTGTGACACCAGAGTTTTCAAGTTACTAGTAATTTCACCGATTACCCGATGAAAGCAATTTTACAGAATATCATCGCGTCGATAGTACAATTAATTTCATTCCCCAACACGTTTTATCTTTTTCCCAGCCTCTGTAGCTTGCGCGGTTTAGCGATTTGTGCGCGCTAAGAAAGCGGCGAGGCCGCGTAAATGAACCGGGAACCTGGGAGAGTTCCTCTCGGCTTCGCCGCTCGTTTTCGCGCCTTCGCCGCTTTATGCGCTCGCGCTCAAATTGCTTTAAAAAATTGCTTAAACCGCCAAGCTACGCAGGCTACCTTTTTCACGTTCTAATAGTTGCTCGCCTTTCCTGGAGACGAGTCAGTTAGTAACGTTTTTGCACTTGTTTTCCCGATATCACGTGACAGATGGCATTCACAAACATCACGATTATATAATGAAGGCCCAGACACACGGTGCAACATTGTGCCCAATATTATCCCTAATGACCTCATTACATCGTGTCCCCACTGAAACTGCTGCCTGCAATGTTGAAAGCGAAAACAAGACTTACAACTACACTTGCAGTTGTAGAATCCAGTTCTACTTCTTCAATATTGTGCGTAAAAATTCCAGGAATTGAGGAAGAAAAAATGTTGCGCAAAACATTACCCAAATGTTGCATCCCGTGTCCGGGCCTTCATATTAAACAATGTTACGTTTTTCTGTGTAGCGACTTTACTCAGAGCCAGCCCAGAATTTTCAACAAATGACAGCACGAATTTGAAACTAAAAAAATGATTTTGTTCGTGGTCCGACCAACCAATCACACTGGAGCACAAGGATTGTTAGCCGTTAGAAATGTCGATTTTGATTGGGTGGCAATCACATTCGAAATCCCACTCCGACAAAAAATAAAATCATTTCAACAGTTGCAGAACTTAAACCCTTAGAGTGTGGCCTGCTGCGCTCACAATAAGAGCTGAGCGAATTTCAACAAAAACTTTTATCTTCGGTCAAGCGATGAGATGCTTTTTTCTACGGAAATAATTTCAAACTTGACGACTAGCTAAGTCCTTTCTGCAATAACGTCCAGGGGACGAGTGAGGTTGCTTTGCTCTCGCTTGGAGGCTTTGAATGTTACAAACCATCCCTAAGAGAAGGCAGTGTGACCACGGGAAGTCAGTCGCACGTTTCACCCAAGGAAAGAAGAAAACGAAACAAGCCAGTAGCCAGAATGTTAACCTGCCTTCTCTGGTCCTTTAATTATTACAAAGAGACATCTGAATCAAACATGATACAGCCGTTTGTGTCTGGCAGCTGAAACACAACTTCTTTAATTAACCAAAAGTTATTAAGTCCTGGTTAATACAAATTGTTCAATGCAACATAATTCAATACCAATGAAAACAACCAGGGCATTTGGAACATCAGCAAGAACAAAGGATGGTGTCTTTTTGCGTAAACGAACCAATGAAATCGAAGAATGCAAACAATACAGTTCGACAAAATAGTTTGAAACCCAACAAAGTTGCGCACCTCTTGGAAAACTTGCTCATTCGATTATTCGTTAGGTTTGATCCTAAATGACAATGGTAATATATATAAGTGTATGTCTCAGATCGAATAATTAATTCTGATCAATAAACTTGTTGTTGATTATATGACTGCTGGTTTCACGGCGATAAGATAATTTTTATATGTGCAAATTGCGTTGATTGTTCATCGGTCCACACCCTTTGGATTCTATCTCACTTGGGTGTTTTGTTTCCTTTGGGGGAATTTTGCATGTGAAACTCTTACCTGTAACATTTTATTGGCCGACAAAGTCTAAAACTGTTTCAAAAAATAAGATCAAAACTAATGAATAAAAACATGACATAGTTTCCTGAGAGATCAACAACTTCATGTTTATATTCTTCAAGGTCAGCGGTTCAGTTACAAAAAAAGATATCGCCAGCCTTTGTTCTTAATTAACGTTCTGCTTGCATAATTAACTCTGCCCAAGTGAACAAAGTTGAAAACAGCTATTTGGCCCACGTGGCTTGGTTCGAGTAGTCAACGTAATAAAACACTAGTCTTGAAAACTTACCGAAGCAGCCAAATAATTGCAATATCAACCACTACAAAGTGACGTCTTCCTTAACTTTGTACCTACAGTAATATTTTCACGCGCAACAGGAATCTCTTCATCACGCCATGACGAGCCCAGTAAGCGTCTGCGCTGGAGGCTAATGTTAATTTAACTGATCTAATATCCCAACTTTCCAACTACCAAGCTAGTTCATATGCTATGTGACTGACTAACTGAGTGTCAAGGGGAAAAAAAGCCTATTAAATCAAAATGTACATTTACTTTCAATAACAAAATAGAATAATAGAAAGATTAAAAACAAGATAAACAGGAACTAACAATACATAAAACTAAGGTAGTCTGGGATTTTAAGAATTCTCAAACCAGTCGTGTAATTGATTTAGATAATAGCTAATAAAATTCTGGCAAGGTACTGGTACACTGTGAATGCTACAAGTCATGATCAATAATCTTATAAATTCCTATTTGACATTTTTTTTTTTCAAACAGGAGTATACCCCAACTTTCCTGAGTATCAAGATTTCCGCATACCATGTTCTGACATGTGAAAGAGAATCCCGCATACATTATGACAGTACTCTCCACACATCCAGCAGGTAAAATTTTCTCTGTCTTCAGGAGAACATTCACTGCATCTGTGTCTCTTCAACGTCTTATCATACTTGAAGCATTTACGGCATTGGTCGCATTTGAAGGGTTTTTCACCACTGTGAACCCTCATATGTTGTTTCAAGATTGATGGTTGGTTAAAACATTTCTTACACTGAGTGCATTTGTAGGGTTTCTCGCCACTGTGAATCCTCAGGTGTGTTTTCAAAGTTGATGATTGGTTAAAGGATTTCTTACACTGAGTGCATTTGTAGGGTTTCTCACCACTGTGAATCCTCAGGTGTGTTTTCAAATTCGATGAGCGGTTAAAACATTTCTTACACTGAGTACATTTGTAGGGTTTCTCACCACTGTGAATCCTCAGGTGTGTTTTCAAATTCGATGAGCGGTTAAAACATTTCTTACACTGAGTACATTTGTAGGGTTTCTCACCAATGTGAATCCTCAGGTGTCTTTTCAAATGCGATGAGTAGTTAAAACATTTCTTACACTTAGTGCATTTGTAGTGTTTGTTGCCACTGTGAACTTTAATATGTCTTTTCAAACTTGATGTACATCTGTTGGATTTAGTATCCATGTGGCTTGGGAGATTTTCTGAAATACAAAAAAAGATATTGAAAAGTTTTCTGGAGTTTTTGTCACTGACAAAATGAACTATAAGCATCAAAAGAAATCAGAAATTAGCAACTAGCTAAACAGGAACAACTTGAGTTAGACAGTCACAGTAGAACTAATGCACTACGATCAATTTTGACTATGCAAGAAAAAAAAACCACAAACCCTTGATTTGATTCTGACAAGTTTAATGCGTACTCACCAATCAAAATAAAGTTCATGACACATGAGCAAGCCTAAAAATTCACAAACTGCTGTTGCTGTTTGTGGTTTAGTTTTCTCACGCCTAATTTGCTTTTTCCTAGCTTCAAACTATCATTCCATAAGCATTTATGGTCTTCTTGTTTTCAGCATTTGATCCTCCAATCAGGTGTGTTTTTTTTTGGCGGGGGNGGGGTAAATAAGGGGAAGAAGAAAAAAAGAATGCCTGATCACTGGTTATTTCACTGTAGTAGGTCCACCTATAAATTATCTGCAGAATTTGTGCTTTGATGTCTGCCAGTTTTGGTTCTTTTGATCAGTCAAATCATACTGTAAACAGGGTTTCTTTCAGAGAGAAAATAATGACTTGCTGTTATGCAATGATGATTGTTTGCTTTCATCATGCTTGCGGAATAAAAATACAAAATTAATGTAATAATAAAGTGTATTATCGTTTGTCTCACGATGTAGTCACTTGAGATGTAGATCGCGACGTTTCGACTGCTTACTGCTAGTCTTCTTCAGGCGA